ACAAGTAAGGCTAAAGTATGATGCAAAAATAGCCCTAAAAGAGAGATAGAGGGTAAGGGGCAGTAGATGACCTCAAACAGCAAAGTCCCCTAAAAAAAAGTTGAAGAAGAGCTCAAAATATGACACTTTCTAGTTTATGATAAAGCCCAGAAATACTTGCAAGGGAAGCTAAGTAATGAAACAAAAAAATGCAAGTTTAAGGGAAATAAACACTTACCCTTGAAGAGCCGACCTCCAACAGCTTTTGGACCAAGTTGGTGAGCTTTCAACCTCTGCAAATGACTTCCAAAGTGCTGGAATGGATGATGGAGGTGTGGTGCTAAGGGTTGTAGTGCAAATGAACCAAGAAAATTAGGATTTTGGAGCTTGAAATAGTGACATTGGAGGAGGGAGGTTATAAGCCTTAAGCAAAAATGTCTAACCATTAGATATGAAGAGGAGGGCCTCTCTTATAGAGAAGAGAGGTCAAAGCTTCTCTTGGAAGCTTCAAAGATCCTCCATACACGTGTATGAAGGATGCACCAAATGCCCCCCAGCTGGCACAGCTGTAAAGTATTCAGAGAGGGCAAAAAGCAAGAAGCAGGCCGGCCAGTTCAAGTGGCCGCCCGGCCACTCCCCCTGGTCGGCCGACCAGGGGTCAAAAGGTTCAAGCCCCAAAGCTGGTCGTCCATGAAGCCCTTGAAGTTAGCTTTCCAATGCCGCAAACCTTGCATTAAAATTCCTCCTGTGCAAAAAGTTATGCCAGTTTTGGTGAAGCCGCTTAGATTCGGTCCAAACGGACTTCAACCAACCATATCTCCCCCACCCGGACTTGTCCTTAGGCGATTCTTGAGTGAAAAATGAAGCCCCGGAAGTAATCTTTCCAATGGTGGTGGCCTCATATCTTAATTCCTCCTGTGCAAAGAGTTATGCCCGTTTCGGTGAAGCCGCGCAGATGTTTTCTCTCCTTCCCGGATTCATGATGAACCACTTTTGACCAAAAGAGCTGGTCGGCCATCTGATTTTCTGGTTTACCATATGGCCACATTGAAGCCCCAGAAGTTAGCTTTCCAATGGCGCCAACCTCGCATTAAAATTCCTCCTGTGCAAAGAGTTATGCCCGTTTCGGTGAAGCCGCGCAGATTTGGTCCTATCCGAATTCATGGCGAACTTCTCCCAAACTAGTTTTGCTTTCTCTTCTCCTCTTTTCTTCAACTTCAAACCTCTAAGTAAGGTGTTTTGAAAGATTTTTCAAAGATTTCATCTCTCTTTCATTCATTTCCACTTTGCCCTTACTCGGTTGACCAAAAAGCGCAACATTTGACAAAATGCGAGCCTCGGAACATCGTAAAAACTTTATTTCAAAAACGTTTTGAAAGAGAGGGTTTTAAGGTCTAAAATATTTTGATCAAGATTGTTTTGGTCCAAAAAGGGGTATGAAGTTGAGATTTGACTCTCCTCTTGCTGAAGAAATTGACTCTTTGCACTACACAACTTTCAAAACCATCAGTCGCGTCCAAGTCTTAAAGGCGGTCAAAAATGGGGTGTCTACAAGTGACTTTTTGATTTTTTATAAAAAAAAATGTGTACAAAAATAGAGAGATAATGTGACAACTTGTAACAAACCACCCCTTAGTAAGTTAATGGTATAATAATTTGTAGGGACATAATTTTTTAATGAAAACACGAGGTCGAGGTGTCACCGAAGTGCTAGCTGATGTGTCACCAAAGTACCAGGCGAGGTGTCACATGTCCTGGTCGTGATGCCAAGATGATCTTGGCTAGACCGAGGTTATCTGCGAGAATATCGGAATCCGGAATAAGCGGATAAGGGACAAGAGTCCTAAAGTGAGAGAAGACTTCAGTTTGGGTAAATATAAGACTCTTAGAGAGTTTATCACAACCCTATTGGGAGTCCAAGATTAGCAGTAATCCTAAGTCCAGTAGAGCTAGGCTTCTATTGGGACTAGGATTGTATTGGCTATAAAAGGGAAACACCCCCATGGGTCTAAGGTACGCAATTTGTATTCTGAATAGTGAGTTAAGTATTTTGATAACTGACTTGATCGTCGGAGTACCCCGGATGGACGAACCACCGCAGGAATCTCTTCTTTCTGTTGCAAGTCGTTTGGGCTTAATTTATTCTGCCGGTACTCTCTAGCTAAGTACTAATTTGGCAGTGTGGTCGAAAATTGACACACACATAATTATTTTTAAACAAGAGAATACCAAATGATAATAAAAAAATTAATGATATATAATATTTTTCTTATGTTATATCATGTTTATGATTGATTGGGCATAAAACAAGGAGAAGGAGCCTCAGAGACTTCAAAGTTGCCATGGTGAAGGACTTTTGTTTTATATTTTTGAAGTAAAATTTTCATTTGGAATGGCGAAGGACTTTTACTTTTCAGTTCACTACAACAAAAATCACCTTTGGCGACTAAAAACCCTCTTTAGTCGCCAAAAGTGGATTTTTCAGATTCAGCGACTAAATTTTTTAGTCGCCCATTTTGTCGCCAGTACTTAGTCGGCAGAGGTATTGGCGACTAAACAAGTTTTAGTCGGCAAAAACAGGTGTTTCAAATGAAGGGATTCGATCACAGTGTAGATTTGATGACCTTTTGTGTTCACACATCTAATTTGATTAGATTATATTTCATATAAAAAAAAAAAGGAGTAATTACCACACACAAAAAAAAATCAGGTTTGACTATTGTACCAAAATAAATCTTCATTTTTTTAATTTTATCAATTCAAATAATAATTATTTTCAATTTAAATTATTTGTCTATTTTCATTAAGTAAAATTAATGGAAAATAATATTTTAGTTATTAAACTCAATGAAAAAGATATTTTAGACATTTTTATATACATCTACATTAAGTTTAATAGCTAAAATATCAATTTTTCTATTGATTTTACTTAACGAAAATAAAAAAAAATAGATCATATTGAAAACAAATCAAAATATTAGAGTCTGAATTAATAAATTTAAAATTTTCTTTTCTTATAAGAACCAAACTCTATGTTTTATTTATTTATTTTTGTAATTATCCAAAAGAAAAAAAGAACTCATTATTTGCTACATACACATATAGGAAGTTAAAAATATTAAATAGTAAAATCTATGTGATGAAACATGAAAAATAATGGTTAGATGAAATATAATGTATGTAACTGTTAACGGTAGATTCTTTTTATCTTTGCTAAACAGTAAAAATACAAAAGTCATAAGAGGGGGGAGTATTTGTCAAAAAGCATGTCAATTTCGGCCAAATACTTTAAGGGGCAAATTGTATTGGTGTTCCTATATTTTATTTTATTTTTGTATATTTTAGTCTTTATATTTTTAATTAACTTTAATTTTGACCCTTAATTTTAGATTTTTTATTAATTTGATCCAATTGATAATGTCATTAATATTTTTGACAAAAAATTATCACTGAATTGGTTGAAATTAACTCACTGAGTTACGTAAGCTTATAATTTTGTTCCTAAAATATGACATATATGCATAGTTTTCATAAAAAAATGCTAAGAGTAATTATTATCAATTGGATCAAATTGAGACAAACTTATAAATTCAAAGTCAAAATCGAGCTAATTAAATGGGCAAATTACATATACACCCCTCCAGGTTTGACAAAATTACAGATACCCCCCTGAGGTTTGAGAAATTACGAATTCCCCCCTGAATGCTATATTTGCATAAGAAATTAGGGGGTAATTTGTTATGAAATATAAACCTCAGGGGGTAAATTGTTATGAAAATACAAACCTCAGGGGGCGGGATGTAATTTCCGAAACCTCAGGGGGGTATCTGTAATTTAACCAAACCTGGAGGGGTGTATATGTAATTTGCCCTAATTAAAATTATAAAGATCAAAATGACACAAGAGTTAAAGTATAGAAATTATCATCATAATTATCCCTACTTTAAACATAAAAAGACGAATAATTTACTAAAATATAAGAGGCCTAATATAATTTGTTGTAAAAAAAAATAATTAGTGTGTTTTGTTTTAATTTTCTGAATTCAGTTTTCTGAAAACTGATTTTTTTTTTCGTGTTTTTTTTTGGTGAATAATTTTAAAATTTGAAGCAATTTTTTACTTTTTAAGATGCACCTTATTTATATGTATCTAAATAGTAAAATATTTATGAAAAAATATTTTAAAAAATTAATAAATACAAAAAAATACAAAAAAAAAATGCACTGAATTTTCATATATATCTTTTGTATTTTTGGTATTTAGTGAATTTGTTTCACAAATATTATACTTTTTAAGTGTATTTATATTAGGTGTGTTTAAAAATTAAAAAAAATTGCTTAAATATTAAAAAAAATCATTGAAAAAGAAAACGAAAAATTAAAAATAGAATTTTTTAAAAAGTATTTTCTAAAAATTAAAATCAAACAAACTAAATGATATTTGAATTTAAACATATGATTTTAGTAAGATTTTTAGTACATGCAATAAAAGACCAAAGGAGGGGGTTTGCAAACACAAAAATAAGTCGCTTCTTTTTTAGAATGTTTCTCTTCGTTAGTTTTTTTAAAAAAACTATATCAATTTTTATTATTATTTACTTTCGGTCCATCTTGGGTAGATTAATTTAAAAAGTAAAAACACAAAATCAAAAATTTCAAAAAATATAAAAAAATAAAAAACCAAAGAATTCTGTTATTTCTGGTTTATTTTTGTCTTTTATAAATTATTTTTTCACTTTTCAATTCATCTCTTCTGCGTATAATTTAGAAGTCTAAAACATTTTTACAAATTTCACCAAAGACAAAAATAAGGCAACAAAACAGTCACCAATTGTGTTTGGTTTTCTTAGAGGTTGACTTTCTAACCGTTTAAACTACCCAATGGGAACTCAAACAAGAAAAGCTAAGCTAATCTATTCCTGAAATTACAATGCAAATTGGACAAATGGGACCCCACCATGTTACAATTTTAATCACGCCATTTATCTCGGCGCCAATCCTTTATAAACCCCTCTCACTAGCCACCCCTTCTCACCCACCTTTTTCCAACTTGAAAGAGGAAATGAAAATGGCAAGTCTTGCTCTTTCTTTACTTCTCCTCTCTTCTCTTCTATCTCTTCTTGTCCTAGCTTCTTCCTCACCAGTTCAAGACCCTGATCTTGTTGTACAAGAAGTACACAGGTAACTATTACTTTGCATTATATTAAACTATATAATATATGGAGTGAAATTCTTTGTCTCAAATTTATGTTCATCTGTTCTTCACGCATTTTAATTACAAGCACAAACATGCTTAACATTTTTTTTTATTTCGAAATTATTTTGCTCACAACACATGCACTTCAGCTGCACAATCGTGTTTGAGATTTTCATAATTTGAAGTTCTAATCAAATCGTATAGGTGGGAGTGCATTTGGATGTGAAGTAACTACTCTACATAAAAATAAGACAAGAAGTGGAGCCTATACCCTCTTGTGTTTCTATTGTGAAACTTTACAATTGTGTTTGGATTAATAATTTGAGTAGCAATTTGTAGAGAAAAAGTAAAACAAGAATTACAATAAGACAAGAAGTGGAGCCTATACCCTCTTGTGTTTCTATGGTGAAACTTTACAATTGTATTTGGATTAATAATTTGGGTAGCAATTTGTAGAGAAAAAGTAAAAGAAAAATTACAATTCAGTGAATTTTTGAAAAAATATTTGTTTATATGAAAAAATTTAGAATTTTAATTATTAATATTTATAAAGTTCATCACTTATGTATAATTTTTTTTTTCTTTCTAAACTTACACTAAATTTTATTTTCCCTAACACTGTGTTTGGTTGGGGAATTTGGAAAGGAATTTATAAAGGGAAAGGGAAAAGACAGGTAAAATGTGAATAAAATATACCTACATTTCATATAGTTTCATATAACTTTTATCTTTTTTTTTCTAAATTTCTTCTCAAATTTCTTAACCAAATATAGCGTAAAAATAAAAGAGAAGAAAAAAGTGAAAAAAAAAACTTTCATAGGCTTTGTTTTTTTGTCCTTATCATTTTCTCACCAACCCAACTTACATGTTTCAATTCTACGCAAATAGTTTTTATTTTATAGCTTAAAATAATTGTACTGCAAGCACGGAAACTAAAAAGTTTTTTAAATAAAATCTTACAAAAAAATGTTGTGTATTATGTGTTCACTTCTACAACTAATTTATGTACTCTTAGACGTAGGCTAAAAATGTGTAATCTTAATTTTATTTTGGATGCAGTCGCATCAATGCATCGAGGAGGAACCTAGCTTACCTCTCCTGCGGAACCGGCAACCCAATTGATGACTGCTGGCGGTGCGACCCCAATTGGGAGCAGAACCGGCAGCGGTTAGCCGATTGCGCCATTGGGTTCGGCAAAAACGCAATTGGCGGCCGAAACGGAAAAATCTACGTAGTCACCGACTCAGCCGACGACAATCCAGTAAACCCAAAACCCGGAACTCTCCGCCACGCCGTAATTCAAAACGAACCCTTATGGATCATCTTCCAGCGAGACATGGTCATCAAACTCAGTCAAGAACTCGTCATGAACTCGTTCAAAACAATCGACGGTCGAGGAGCGAGCGTCCACATCGCCAACGGACCCTGCATTACCGTCCATTATGTCACCAACATAATCATACATGGAATCAACATTCATGATTGCAAGCAGGCAGGGAATGCTAACATACGTGACTCCCCACAGCATTCTGGGTGGTGGACCGTATCAGACGGTGATGGAGTTTCCATATTCGGGTCGAGTCATATTTGGGTTGATCATTGTTCGTTGTCCAACTGTCATGATGGATTGATTGATGCGATTCATGGATCAACGGCTATAACGATCTCGAACAATTATATGACGCATCATGATAAGGTGATGCTGTTGGGGCACAGTGATTCGTACACACAGGATAAGGATATGCAGGTTACCGTAGCCTTTAATCATTTTGGTGAGGGGCTCGTGCAAAGGATGCCTAGGTAAATTATTCAATATCCATGTTCACTTTAATATATTTTTTTTCCCAATTTTTTTTATTTTTAAAATTTTGATTATATATGTTTTTGTTTAATAGTTTTGCTAACTAAAAGAAAAATAAAAGTTTTTCAAGCAGTTAATAATCTTTTTCGGGATAGCTTTGAAAAAAAGAAAAAGCGTTGTACTGTATAAAAAAAAAACGACTACACTGCGTTGATGATAAATCAAAACATTGGATATTTTCTGATTAGGCATTCAATTGAAGAGGTCTTATTGGCTTTTGTCAAGCCGATTTGGAAGATTTAAAACGTTTATTTTGTTGAGTTGTTGATTAGAACGTTTATATAAAAAAAAAATTAGAATAATTGTATGGTTATAACATCACATTTAATTTTAAAAAATTTAACGAACATGTGCATACCAATATCAGAACAACTAACATAAATAATCGTATATTCAAATCACATATACATAGATAGTCTTTGTCATTTATTTTTTAAAAATAAATGGGATCCGATATTGTGCCTGCTAATATATCTAGTCAACTTATTTATTTATTGCATAAATAATCTAATAAGTAAATCTTACGGGATAGAAAGATTTAAATCACTCAAATGAACTTGGATGCTCAACTAGATAGAATCCATTTGCATAGAGAACAACATGTAGATGTGTAATGTTTATAACACTTGCATGTGTTTGACAAATATCTACAGGTGTAGATTTGGATACTTTCATGTGGTGAACAATGACTACACTCACTGGGAAATGTATGCCATTGGTGGTAGTGCAGCCCCTACAATCAACAGCCAAGGCAACAGATTCCTTGCACCCGATGACAGAACCAAGAAAGAGGTAAGAGAGATAACATAACATACACAAAGCCCTCTTTCTTCTCTCTCTCCCCCTGCATATTTTTAAAAATATAAAAAAATTTACTTGCACAAAAACGAATTACAGAATGGATCACACTCCTAATGCAGGTGACAAAATATGAGAATACACCGGAGAGTGAATATAAGAACTGGAACTGGAGGTCGGAAGGAGACCTAATGTTGAACGGAGCATTTTTCAGGCAATCGGGGGCAGGTGCATCTTCCTCATATGCTAGGGCATCGAGTTTGAGTGCTAGACCATCTTCATTTGTGGGTGCGATGACCACCACTGCTGGTGCACTCAATTGCAAGAGAGGCTCTAGCTGTTAACCAAATATGATATGTTAATGGACAACAACCCTAGCTAATTAAAATAAATTATAAAAAAAAAAAATTAGTAAGAGAATGGTGTGAGATGCTTTCTGCTTCCCGCCAGTGTGTTTGCTTTTAAACACTATGTCAGAGTGTTGACAATGTTCTCTGGGCTAATGAAAATAGAAGTTCAGATTTTGTCATATAATTCATGCTACTCTCTCTCACATATATATTTTTTCATTTTTAGTGAGATTGCAAATTTTTTTCCCCTATTGCTTAAAATTAAAAAAAAAAAAACATTCACACACAAGTTCTAAATTATAAATTTATGCTCCATTAAGTTATAAGATTTTTTGAACTTTTAAGTCCCGTCAAATTTTTAATAGTTGGAATTGCCCTTTAAACAATTATTGTTTATAATTTATGATTATTTATAAAGGAATATGATAATTTGACATTTATTTTGATTTTCAAAACTTTAAAATATCAACTTTTAAATTGAAATCTTTTTTAAAAAAATTATGTGCAAAAAAAAGAAAAAAACTAATTTTTTTTTTTTGAAAAAATTAAAAAAATTGAAATATTTTTTTGTAAAAAAGTGAAAATTTTGTATATGATAATGGAACATTGATATGCAAAACTGAAAAAAATAAATAAATAAATAAATAAAAAATAATAATGTGCTCAGTTTTAAAACTGGAAAAAAATGATAATGTTGTCGGTTTTATTAGATAGTTCAATTAAACTAATAAGTAGAAGGGCAAAAACGTTTAATCTCACACTTTTTTTTTATCAATTAGTAAAACAATTATCTGGAATATTACTATACAAAATTGACACTACAACATTTTCTTAGTTTAGTGACATTTGAAAGTGCCACAAAACTATTCTTCTAATGACATTTTTTGGTCTTGTGGCATTTTGAACAAGTGCCACTTCTATCGGTGCCACGATAGATACGAGTGCCATGGTAGAAACTTGCAAGTGTCTGGAATATTACTATACAAAATTGATAATATTTTTAGTTTTAAAAATTAGAAAAAACTAATAACATTCTCAGTTTTACTAAATAGGACTTATTGGTTCAAAGAATCTTAAATAGAACCTGAGTTATCATAACATTTGTAAATAGGATTTTTAGATAATTAATTCAAAAAAAAAAAATTCCTTATAGATAGTTTGTATTCTTCATGAATGTGATTGTTATGGGTGTGGGGCATCATCTTTGAGAAATATTTTTATTTTTATTTTTAGCAAAAAAATATTATTCAGGGAAATTTTAAAAAATTATTAAATTTTTTTATAATTTTAATTATTAATATTAATTAATTTTTTATAAATAATTTTTTTAAAAATCACTAATATGTAATTCTCCCAAATTTTTTAGTCATGAGAGGCCACCAAATAGGAAAAGCTTGATCCAAGATAGACAGTTTGGCCCGTTAATCATGGGTAATCCCCTTCCAGTGGGCCCAACTTAACCAAGCCACGAATTTCTGTCTACTTTCGTTACCGACCCAAAAATAAATAATAGAATAATATTAGGAATTATAAAAAAAATATCATGAAATACATCAAAAAGATTTTTCATTCATTGATTAGTGTGTGGTGTTTTGTTATATGTATAATCCAAATGTGAAAAAAAATTTATGATCATTTTCCTGATCCCTATCAATACTCCAAATAATAAATAAAATTCTCAAAAATAAAAACCATATGGGCAAATTACACTAATAGTCCCTATGGTTTGAGTCTTGTGTCATTTTGATCCTCAACTTTTCAATTGTGACACATTTGACCATGAACTTTGAATCTTGTTCCAAATTAAGACAATTGAAGATATCATTAGATTTTTCAAGGGTAAAATCGTCAATTTGAAAAAATATAAACTAATTTGACAAAAATAAATGTCAAACAAATATTTTTGAATTTTTTAAAATTATTTCTACCCACTAAAAATAAAATTATGTAAAATTGATAAATCTTTTAGATATTTATTTATTTATTTACCAAATTAATTTTTATTATGTGTTTGGATGATGATCATGTAAAATTAATTTTTAAAAATTAAGCATGTAATTTTTATTAATGTTTATCAATTTTACATAATTTTATCATTGGCGGATAAAAATAATTTTTAAAAAATTAAAAATATTTTTTTGACATTTATTTTTGTTAAATTAGTTTTATTTTATTAAATTGACGATTTTGTTCTTGAAATTAAACAATGGTATATTCAATTGTCCTTATTTGAAGCAAGATTCAAAATTCAGGGTCAAATGTGTCACAATTAAAAAGTCAGAGACCAAAGTGACACAAATCCCAAACTATAGAAACTGTTAGTGTAATTCACCCAAACCATATTTATCATTTGATGTCTTCATATTTTATGTGTATTCGAAACATACATATAAGAATTGAAATGACCCTTTTGTGGCCATAGGTAAGTGTATGCTTCAATCTATTGCGGCAAATCTGGTCGTTAACTTAAATGCCATGAATAAATAAATAAACATTCTTATGTGTCATATTGATCATGGACATCGTATATGTTATTAAAAACTAATTATGTCCATAGTTTACTTTAAAATGTTCTGTTTACATGGTTTGGACTCATTTTAGATTGTTAAGAACTAATCATGTCCACAGTCTACTTAAAAATTACATGGATTTGGACTCATTTTAGATTGGACAAATAAAAAATGGGGATGCTGCTGTGCATTAAGCACAGCGGCAACTACTATGCAAGAAAACAGCAACGTTTTCTGTTTGCCAAAGTGTTTTCATCATAAATGGGAAGACAATCATAAACAAATAATCCAAATAATAATGCAGTAAAATATTTATGTACTTTAATTTGCTTTCATGTATCATTATAATTTTTTTTTAATAACTTAGTGTGCAGTCAAATGGACCAATTAATTTGGAGATTAATCTCACGGTCTACTTAGCGTGCGTTCTAATTAAAATTGGGACAAAGTCCTGTATGGACTCATGCTAAGAAATTCTTTACAACTAGAAAATTTTAAACTTGAGACTATGAAGGGAGCACACTCCTATGTCCCAGGCCTTGACAATATAAATAATACTATATGTACCAATTAATGTATTATCTAATGTACCAATTGATGATGTGACATAATTTAAAAGATTTTTTATATTTGTATTATGATTAATGAGTGAAGTCAATAATAATGTCATAATTAGTGTTGGTACACTAGTTAGTACATTAATTAATACATATAGCACCACCATTAGTTTAATGAGATCTATTTTTTATGTTGGTTATTAATGCAATAATAATCCAAATCTCAAGAGTAATTTTACATCTGTTGTATTTTTTTGTCACAATTGCATTGCTAATGTACATAAGTAATGAGACTCATTAAACAAATACAATAATCACACATGTGATGGTAAAATAAATATAGTACGTGTAGCACTAGTCTAATCAAAATAATAATACTATGAAAATTATATTTAAGAACCAAATTTTATTTGTCATATTATGTATTATCGTTGTATTAGTTTAATGAAACTCAACACTAATTTTTTCACTAATGCATAAAGAAAATGCTAATCATACAAAATTTTTATTTAAAAATGTTATAAAAAATGATATAACGATGACATATATGTAATTATGACTCATAGCGATGGCCCTTTTGATTTCTAATGAGATATTATAAATGGTCCTTATCATTCTTTATAAAATTATTGTATAAAAAAATTATTTGTATAGTATTACCCATGCATAAATGATACATCATATGTAAATAAAATCAACACTATTAGATGTTTTGTAATTCATTTTTGTACAAATATTTTTTCTCAAACAAAAATATAATATATAAATGTGAGTATTAATTTTTAATTTTATACAAAAAAATCATGTGCGGCATTACTCAAGTTGTATACTATAATAATTTTTGCCATGTGAAGGCTTAGGTCCAAGATAAAAACGTTTTCGTTTTCTTGCACAGCAGTTGCGGTCGTGCTAAGTACACAGCAGCATCACGGTGTTGCTATGTATTTAGTACAACAGCAACTGCTATGCAAAAAAACGATGACAATGTTTTCTTTTTTCATCTGTGCATGGTGCTTGGTGTGCACCAGCATCCCATTCTCGGGCAAATAAAAAAAAAATGAAAAAAATTATTTGACTTATCTATGAATGAGGTAGATGCCATGTATATATATAATAGATTCATGATACAATTTTAAAAATGATATAAATAATGAAACAATACCAAATCAGTGATTGATACAATCACAAATTATATGCATAATACTAAAAATAAAAAGATTCTATATATTCTAATTTTTATATTTAACAAATAACACCATACAGTGGTGTGAGGAAAAACATATTACAAATTCATGATAAAGTTTATAAATTTTAATAATTAAATTGATAAATTTTACTATGAATTTATATTATGTTTTTGCTGACACCAGTGAATAATAATTTCCCCTTTTAGATTCATCTTGGTTGACTGAAAATATTTAGTTTGTGAAGCACATGGAGCATATTATTCATATACACATTAATTAGTAATTGATCAAATTATATTTATCTTAAAAAATATATAGGGTAAATATGCTGTCGAGAATACATCGTTAATTTTTTCATGTAAATATAAATTGATCATATCACTATTGATGTCAAATTAATTAATTTATTTTTTTCTTTTGCATAGATGACCAGTTTGTCGGTCTTAGAAATTAGACTAGAGACAGAGCTTGGTTTTTATTTGAAGAAATTACATTCCAGTGGTATGTTTTCAAAATAATTACTGATACATAAAAAATTATAATTTTAATTATTAAAATTTATAATCATTGATCTAAAATAATTTTTAGAAACTTACGCTGGATTATTATTTTCCCTTCTTATTTTTAAGGGTAAATTACAAATATACCCCTGAAGTTTACTTAAAATACGAATTGTCCTATGTGGTTTGGAAAATTACAAATACCTTCATGTCAGAATTTTTTATTTAACAGAATTAATTGAAAAAGTAAAATTTCTAACTGTTCACTTATACAATAATAAAATTATCTGAATTATTAATTGAAATAAAATTTTAACATTATTAAAAACTGTTAATCAACTTGATGATTTATTAATAAAAGAACCTATTTGTTATGAAATTAGAAATCTTAGAGAGCATAATGTAATTTTTAAAATCACAGGAGGTAATTTGTAATTTAAGTAAACTTTAGGTGTGTTTGTAATTTATCCTATTTTTAAAGAATTGAAGGACTCATTTAATTATTAGAATGCCAACATTATTTCATTACTCAAAATAACAAATAAAGAATTAATCTGCAATCCAGATTTATCTACCAAGAAAATTTTGGGTGGTTGATTGGATGGTGGAGATTAATTTGTGTGTAGTATGAAATCTGCGTGAAGTTTGAATAAATCTGAATTATAAGCTAAAAATTTTGAATTGAGATAAAGGTGCGTTTATAATATTAGTGACACATAAATATTTGAGCTCAAAGAGCAAACCAATCTCAACCCATTGAAGTGACCCCTTAAAAAAGTTACATGCTAGCTTGCTTTACAAACCATGCATGAATACAAGAAGATTGTCATCAAAAGAGGTCACCGCCACCAACAATGGCTTCCTCTACTAAACACATCCTCCAATCCATCTCCCCCTCCCAAAAAAAAAAGATCAAAACACTCACTTCTTCCCTCTTTTTTTGTTTTTCTTGATTTTCTTTCAATGCTTAGAAGAAGAAACCGGCAACGGCGGCAACACCGGCGGTGACGGATGCAACCTTCAAAGCGGCGGCGCCGCTTGCGGGTGCCTCAGCTGGGGCAGCATCGGCGGCGGGAGTGGCTGCGGTGGGTGAGTTGGATTCGCTGGCGGGGGCTGGTGGAGATGAGGTTTCAGCCCCGGGGCCCTCTGTGGCGACGGGAGTGGGAGAAGAGGATTCGGGGGTGGAGGCGGTGGGGTGGTGGCGGCTGGAGTTGGGGCGGCGGAGGGGGTGGTGGTGGCAACCGGGGATGAAGCAGGGGCTGAAGCAGGGGAGGTGGAGTTGGCCACAGTTGCGGTGGTGGGTGCGGCGGCGACGGGGGAGGTGGCGGGGGCTGCGGCGGGGGATCGGGCGGAGACGGAGCTGACCACGGCGGCGAAGATGAGGGCGAGGACAACGAATTGGCGGGCCATTGTTTTGGTTGAGATTGGATTTAAGTTATACAGAAAGTAATGAAATAGTAGTAGTGAATTGGAGGAAAGCAGTAATTTCTCTAATGAATGAGATTAGAGAACTACTGCGAACCTAAGAATTGAGGAATATGGTGGTGGTAGGAGGGGTTTTATACAGGGTGGTAGAGATGTTGGCAGAATGCATGGAGGAGAGGGCATGCATGTGAGAGAGAGAGAGAGAAGTTTTTGGTAAATTTGTGTGGTGATCCTGATGGAGTGGAGGAGTACGACGGAGGGTGGTGGTTTTGCTTGACCGAGTCTGGTGGTGCATTGGTTGGTAAAAATTGAATCGTGTCAAAATGGTTAAAATTGGGTGGTGGGTCTTAAAATAATGCTATAAATTACGTTGCGTAAATATCAATTTTCAATAGTATTAGGAGTGTTCTGTTCATGTCATTATTTGGTTCTGCGTGATACTAAATTTGGTATCAACTTAATTATGACTGATTTTAAATTTTTAAAATCATAATCAAACTAATTATGTAATAAACCAATCTGACTCAACTCAATGTAAATTGAATCACGAGTCTACTATATTAAAAATAAGTAAATTAATTAATAATAAATGAGTATTTAACATTTAAACATAACACAAAGAGTAAAATATTATTTAATAAAAGTCAATATAAATTAAATCCAACTCAAACTTAAATATAACCAATACAAATTAAATCAATTATAATATAGTAATAAAGTGAACAATGTCAAAATAAATAAATTTTTTAAATATATATATATATCCAAAGAGATCGACTTGATTCGATTTTTCAATTCATTGGATAATTTAAACACCATATAGAGTATGGTTAATTTAGATAATGTATTCATATTCTAAATTTGAATAATTTAAACACGTATGGTTAATTTAGATCATGCATTCATATCCTAAATTTTATATCCTCCCAAGTAAAGTAATGTTGCCACTAATATCACATACGGAGAATTACTTTAAAAATTTATTTGAAATTTATAACGTGCGATGCGCATGAAATTTATTATTTTAAGTCTAACTCATATCTATTTGAATTTTGATTTATTAAGTAAAAATAAAATAAACATAGTCGTTTATATTCATTTTTATAAGTAACTATACAAGAATATTTTTATCCAATCAAAGTGAAAGATGCTAGAAAGTAAACTTCTTTCTTTTCTTAATTTTTTCTTCACAAATTTTTAAAACAAACTTGTCACAATCTTAAAGTATCTTCAATAGAGATATTAAGATTGTGTGTTACTCAACGTTATATGACAAAAAATTAATAAAAATGTGTTTAATTTTATGTGCTAAGACTTGTTAATTTATGTTTTATTTGGCTAAGTTAGTTGGATTAAAAAAACACAAAAAATAAAATAGATTAAATAATTTAATAAAATAAAATGTCATATCTAAATCATAATTATTTTATTTTTTCTCTCATAAAAATTAAAATAATAAAAAAAAATTACTAAACGAACTTTTTAATCTCAAACTTAAAAAAATCTGAATCCAGAAAAATCAACTAGAAAAGTTTTTACCAAATTACAACTTTACAAAATGAATGTGTATTGCAATGGAGAAGAATCTCTATCTTCCGGGCCTCATTCTCTCTCTATTCTTTCTTTGTCCCACCCTCTCTATAATTGATTCTCTACAGTTAAAAGTGTAAAATAACAATTAGCATGTTTAAACAGTGAGTAAAAGTCAATTATAAAAAAGGAATATTTATTGATAAATGTCATTTAGAAGTGTTTTAAAGTCTATGAAGAAATTTTTTAACCTATTTAGTCTCATGTATGTATAGTTTTATTTCATAAAGTTTTTTTTCTTGATTTACACTATTTTATTGGACATTTATGCCCTTATATTTAATTTTGATACCCTTATAAATATTTTTTGAATGGTTAGCAATTTTATGATGTGAACATTCATATTTTAAAATTCACATTAGTAGGAATGTAAAATTAGCCCGTGGGTGGCCCGAAACCCGCTCGCGAGCCGGGGCGTGCCCGGCCCGTTGACAATGTGAATATTTATATTGACATGTTAACATTTACATTAATATGAGTGTAAAATTGGCCCGCGTCTCGTGGCGGCGTGAAACCTGCCCCCGGCCCATGGGCAGCCCGGGGCGGGCCCGGTCCGACCCGTTGACAATGTGAATATTCGTATTGACATGTTAACATTTATATTGATAAGAGTATAAAATTGGCCCGCAGCCCATGGGTGGCCAAAAGCCCACCCGCGGCCCGGGGCAGGCCCGGCCCGACTCGTTGACAATGTAAATATTTACATTGACATGTTAACATTCACATTGATAGGAGTGTAAAATTAGCCCGTGCCCCGTGGTTGCCCGAAACTCGCCCACGGCCCGGGGCAGGCCCGACCCGTTGACAATGTGAATATTCATATTGACATGCTAACATTCACATTGATAGGAGTGTAAAATTAGCCCGCGCCCCATGGCTGCTCGAAACTCGCCCACGGCCCGTGGGCGGCCCCGGCCCGGCCTGTTAACAATGTGAATATTCACATTGACATGTTAACATTCACATTGATAAGAGTATAGAATTGGCCAGCGGCCTAGGGCTGGCCCAATCCGGCCCGTTGACAATGTGAATATTCACATTGACATGTTAACATTCACATTGATAAGAGTGTAAAATTGGCCTGTAGCCCGTAGACGTCCCGAAACCCGACCGCAGCCTGAGGCGAGCTTGGCCCGACCCGTGACATTGTGAATATTCACATTGACATGTTAACATTAACATTGATAGGAGTGTAAAATTTGCCCGTTGCCCGAAGCTTGCCCGCGGCCCGGGGTAGGCCCGTTCAGAGGTTTCAGAATCTCGGCTGCGAGCCTTGCCTCTGGACTTCCGGACTCTTTCATGCTTCGCCTCGGTTTGCGAACCAGGCTCTGTTTTCTCTGTTTTCTTTTCCCGAAGGGAGGGAGAGATCTCGTAAATCATCTCTCAGTGGCCGTAGGCTGCGTTTCATGGTCGTAGGCCATTTTGCCCGTTTGGAGTCCGGTTTCCGATTTTTCGGAGCCGTTGGCCGTGTGCCTCGGTTCGGGACCGCTTAACCACCTCCAGCTGCTCCGGTTTTTGGCATGCATCTTATTTTCTCCCTTTTGAGGGACACTGTGCCTCGAGAGACTAACTTCGTGGTCGAACACCACTTCCGGTGCCTAATAGTCAGTTTTCGGGGCCTCGGGCTGGACGTTTCGGCCCCCGAACCTCCATTTTGCATCGGTTTGAGTTCATTTTTGGCAAGGACCTTTGTTTCACTACTAAGAAGGTCGTAGAAGGGTGGGAGGCCAGTAATTGTTCTGACAACTAGTTTTATTCCTCCATCGCCCTCCGTCGCCCGTTTTTCTCACTTGAAAGCCAATGTTGACTACCCTAAGGCCACTTTTTCCAGCCCTAAACCACATATTTGTGTTGTACACACCTGGGAGGCCACCAATATCACATGGCCGGCCAGTAATTCTGTTTGCCCCTTTTGAAGCCCTCTAAAAAGTGGGCTTTTCTCTCTCCTAGTTTACTTTCTCCAGTTTTTGACCACATGGTTGTATTGTGCACACATGGGAGGCCACCAATCTGGGGTGGCCGGCCACTAATACTTCTTGACCCTTTTGACCCTTGGCTGACCGGCCATGGGGAAAGCCACCGGCCACCTAAACCCTAGCAAACCAACCGGCCTTGATCCTCTCTCCAGGTACATTACAGATATGTATTTTGTTTCCCCCCAGATTGTGTATCCGGGGGGCTGCACTTTGGGGGGAAACTTGAATTCATTTCCCCCCATTTTTTCCCCCCTCTTTTGCCTATATATCAGCCCCCCCAGCTGTGTTTTGAAAGGTTATAAATTTTGGTTTGGAGCTCCTACATTGTATCTCTCTCTCTCTACACTCCAACCCTCAAAACCTCCCAAACCTTACACCATTTCTACACCACCACCTAGCACCACACCACCACCATCCATTCCAGCCACTTGGAGCTGTTTTCCAGAGCTAAGGAGCCACCAAACTTGGTCCAAGAGTTGTCAAAGCATTGGTCTTCAAGGGTAAGTCTTCTATCCCTCTCTTTGGCCCTATTTTTACTCAATATATTAGTTCCTCTTGCTTGCATATTTGGGCTCCGACCCTAACTGAAAATAGCATTATTTTGAGCCCCTTTTCATGTTTTTTTAAGGGCCTCTCTCTGTTTGAGGCTTCCTTTTTACACTTGCTTCTTTACCTCTCTTGTATGCCTCTTTCTTGCATAGTATTTTAGGCCTATTTTTAAACTGTTTTGAGCTTGGTTATAAACTGTAAAGTGGCTTATTTTGAGCCCTTCTTCAACATTGTTGAAGGGATCTTCACTGTTTGAGGCTTCCTTTTGTCACTTGCCTCTTTATCCCTCTTTTGGCCTTATTTTTGCATGTTTTGATAGCCCCTTGTGCTTGTATTTTTGGGCTCCGACCCGAACTGAAAATAGTCATATTTTTACCCCCTCTTCATGTTTGATCAAGGGTCTTTTGCTGTTTGAGGCTCCCTTTTTACACTTTGTGTTTAAACCTTCTTCTAGGCCTATTTCTTGCATAGTATTTTAAGCTTACTTGTACAATGTTTTGGGCTCGGCCATAAACTGTAAAATACCTTTTTTTGAGCCCCTCTTCAACTTTGTTAAAGGGATTTTCATTGTTTGGGGCCAGAAGCTGCTACTTGCTTCTTTATCTCTCTTTTGGGGCCATTTTTGCATGTTAACTTAGCCCTATTTGTGTTTGTTTTTTGGCCTTGTTTAAAACTGTAAATATGCATGTTTTGGGACTTTCTTGAATCTTTCTTCATGCTTCATGATCAAATAGTGCATGTTTTGTATAGCTATAGGTCATTGTGCATGCTTAGTTTTGAGTTTCGGGGTTCGTCTCATGCATCGGGTGCCATATTGCCATGTTTCGGGGTTGTTTAGCATCATATTCCAGCGCTGAAATTTTCATGTTT